ACATAATGTGAGCAGAGGAAAGGACTAGATCCAGATCTTAATGTTACCCCCTTTATGTTACTGCAGCCCTTTTAGTGCCTACTGTGGTCCATGGGCTGGGCTGACAGCACAGAATCCATACATCCAGAGACTATAAGCTTTGCTAAACTATCAAACAGCCTGTTTCAAACTCAAATGCTCTAAAAACTAAAAATCACTCAAAAACTGAAACATTAATTTTCAACAGGCCCCCAGTGAACATTTCTATACAAAAACAATTTTGACTGTAGCATAATACAACATGTTCACATGCATTAGTGCACAATGACTCACTTTATGAGTGAGAAAATGTAGGCTCAGAAAGGTTTGTTGACCCTGAAAATTCTGTTCCAGCTCTAAGCCCAGGGGACTCTCTATATCTCATCACAGTAATAATAAAGCCTGTTAAGACACTGGACACAAACTTACATTACGTAGTTTGGACAGTTATCGCCACATGTTATACTGAGGGCTGGACAGAAGTATCGTCCCCAAAATTCATTATGCTGTAAAGCCTATGTGACAAAAAGGACAATTCAAGGTGGTTTTAAATTTCAAAACATTTCCAAAGAATCATAACAATTAAATCTTCAAGTTCAATCTTTATTGTTATTTCCAAAAATATACAAAGTTGCATATTCACAATATATTACAAATTAACTAATTTACCTGGAAATTAAGAGGCCTAAGGTTGGGATATTCCTTCCAATTGGCCAAGAAAGGAGATCTCTTGGTAGATCACCCCATAGCCCCTTCTTTCTTCTCTCTTTAACTGTATAACCATATAATCTTTATAACTAAAATGATGTTCTTTAACTGTATAATCCTATAATCTTTATAACTAACATGATGTAGTATTGCTCAATTAATATTGCTGACTTATGGTAATGATCTTTTCTTGTTTTCATCAAAATCACTTGTAGGAGTTAAAATCTTGGTTACAATGTATTAAGACACGGTTTTCTTTGGAGTTGATTCCTTTGCTAGAGCCATAGAGCTAGGAGTGTTATTTAGCCTCTTTGTTTCTCATAATTTCTCTTTAATCATAAGCTAAGTATCCCAGTCTCCCATCCTCTCATTTATTTCCTTATTGAATAGAAACACAATGTTTTTCATCTGCCATTCTTTCCACTTTACTATAAGATTTATTCTCCTCACCTTTCCTCATCTGAAACAACAGGGTGACTGAGGAAAACCCCAGATGACTCCTTGACCTTGTGCTAAGGGATAATAGGAAGTACTCCTCCATTGCTCCTGGAAGGTGTCCACAGGTCATGGCAGGGGAAGTGAGACGCATAGTCTTTATTTTCATTGTTCCCACCTTGGGCACCTATTCACAATGATAGTCAAGGACAACTTACTGTAAAGCCATAATAAGGAATGCTGAAGTACTGAAGCCACAAGATCTGAGGAGCCATGCTTCTAAGATATAATGGCAGACCCCCAATCATCTACAAAAAGCAAAAATCATGAATTAGAACTGGTCCAGGAATTTCATGAGGAATTCTAGAGAAGAGCATCTTCAAGAATGCTATAACCTTCTAAACATTTCTGGTAGGAATAACTCTTGAAATTCTTTGACCTTGCTCTAAATATTAATCTTCCTTTGTATGTGTAAACCTCACATGGCCAAGACTGTTTAGGGTTTTAATTAATGAAAATATACTCAAGTCTATATCATAGATTTTATTTATTTGGAAGATCCTTAATTGTTAATACTATACTTTCATGTTTTTCTGTACTTGCAAACAATGGAAGATTAAGAAATACATTCATCTCTTGGTATCCAAGGGAGACCAGCTCTAGTACTCACATACATAGATACTCAAATCTGCAGATCTCAAATTCCATTATTTTAAAAGAGCATAGTATTTGCATGTAATCCCAAGCAAATGCTTTATACTTTAAATATATGTGTCCTTTGCATTTTAAATCATCTTCATATTTCTTTTACCTACTATAGTATAAATGTTGCATATGTAGTTTATACTATATACATATAACCGTATAAACTATATAGTTTAGGCAATAATAATTAAAAAAGAAAATGCACATATTCAGTACATACCTATTTCTTGTTCTGTATGTTTTTCATCAGTGATTGTTTGAATTTTCTAATGCAGAACCCACTGACACAAAGAGCTGACTACTGACTATCCTAATTATAACACCAACATGTGTTGCCCCTAATGATCCTGAAAATCTAGGAACTTATACAAGAATGTTCCTAAGCTTCACATACACCTCTCTATTTCCATACAACTGTAAGATTTGTTATTTATAAGGATTTGCTTTTTGCATCCACGACATTAATAATAATTTGGGGTTCAGAATTGTAGGCTTCATGTTTCCCAATGCCTAGAACTTATAAACTGTATAGCGTGGTATAGTACAGCAGAAAACATGGACAATCCCTCTGTTTAAAGCTATGAAAAAGTGATATTGCAATGCAGATTCAGGAAGGAGCGCTGGAGATGAACGAGAGGCCCACATAACACTGGCCCCAACTGGGGTGAGGTGAGCCGGGATTTGCACAATGGTGGCAGTACCGTGGTGTGCCTGCGTATATCAGAATTGACCTACCAGAAGTGCCTGGTGTATAACATGACATCTCTGAGTGAAATAAAATTTTACGACTGGCTTTTAAAATTCTACACAAAAACTTCCAAATCACAATCAATGTATCAAATAAATCAAACAAAGCATCTTTATTTACTGAAGGACTTTTTTTTTAGTAAATGAAATACAAATTAGACATCACATTGTTGATGATATATATTGGCAGTTGACAAATTCAGAAATTGAACTAAACTTTGACAAGAGTATATGTAAGCCATGGTTTTATGGTTGCCTCAAAAATGAGCCCCAAATTATAGATAACTATACCACATTAATAAAAAGAACTTTTTAAAGTGTTGTATATGTGCCATTCAAGGGCATCTCTTTCTATTGTACCAGAAAGGATGTATACACCAATTGGCTGAGCATCCCTGTTTAGTGGATATTGTGTGGGGTGTGTGGTAATTGGCTCTGTTTATCTGTTGATTCATCTATATGAGTGCAAATTTTAGGACCATGAAAGATTATGACTTTGTAATCATTTTCTAAAAAGATGAAACAGAAACATATTGACATTATCGATTCTCAGGAAGCCAGACAACAGGTGACCTAATACTATGGACTTTAGAAATTTCCAGTAATTTTAAAACATTTTCAAAATGCAAGAGGCATCCAAGCTAGACCCCCGTTACACTTCTCATGGAGCTTCACTTTCACCTTGGGGTATAATGAATCCAACCAAACCAGCTCTGCTGCTTACACAGCTGGCAGTTCTCTAACACCAGCATGAAAGGCAGCCTGTGGTTTTTGCTAGGGAATCAATCATTATTCTTGTTTTTGAAGTCCTAATTTATAAACGTTCATAATCACCAAAAAGTCTTTTTTAAAAGCTCATTAATAAGGACATGGCTAAGATAAGTAACTACATGAGAACACTAGCAGAAAAGCCTATATAGGAGCAAGGAAGAAAAGTGGTACATTCTTTAATATAAACTTTAGTTCAGTCTATGGCATCCCGAAACCATCAGATTCCCACATCCAGAATCCTTAAAACAGACTTTTTTATGACAGGAAGGTGTCAGAGAAACAGGGGGAAAAATTCTGTTCCCAGAGAAGCCCAATTCACACTCACCAACATAAACGTAAAATAGAAGTTCATGACCTGTCTTGTTATAGTTACATCATTATGATTTATTCCTATGGCCAGTGACATGGAAATGGATGAAAAAGCCACCATCATGAGGGTAAAGATCATGATGAAGAAAGTCTCCACTGCTGGTTTTCATTCTTAAAGAAAACAAAGGATCAGTTTAACTGTGTAGCTCCCTGTGTATCTGGAACTGTTTATAGTGCCAATAACACTACAATATCCTGAGAAAGTAAGATCAGAACAACATCACTCACATGCAACTACCCTGTGTCACAAATTTAATTGTTTCTCTTCATGCGAATGAAGGGTAGCCATCTTTATAACGTAAATCCCCCTAGTATAATCACCACGTGGCTCTGTGATTGGGAATAGGGCTGCCAAGCTTCTTAAATTACTTTATAATTATCATGAGCTAATGCTCTGTATTAGAATGGTCTGAAGATTTTGGAACATCTGTAAGAATACTGATAAGAAGTCTACAATCTCTTTCTACATATCTCTGCATATCATAGATATTACCTGCCTATGTATATTTTTTCTCTACATAGAGATACATGTAGTAAGATATAGAGAAAAAATACAGATAGGCAATAAATATCCCAGCTGGTGGCAACAGGAGTCTGCACAGCAGCATCTCATCTGGGCTGTGCCTTCTTGGACTAATCTGGAGTGTGTGGTGTGTGTTTTTGTTCTGTAGACACAAGCACATCAGTGGATACTACAGGGTGTCGTCTTATTTCTTTGGAAATATTTTATCTGACTGACTAGCCAGGAGGTTCTTGCCAAGTTTTATATTTACTTTTATAGTATACTTCATGGTGGGTAAGTAACAAGACAAAGGGGATGTGTCTCTAGCCTTGAATATGTGGAGATGTTAACTTCTCATTGCAAACACGCTTTTGGTTCCCAAAACTATAAAACAAGCTATAAGGAATCATGTATTGATGGTATATTCTCTAAATTAACTGGTTAATGTGGACACTTTTTCTAGACTTTTTCCCAACTGAACTTGAAAATGTATTTACGGAACTATATTTTTCTGAAGGATGCCATGTATCATACTCAAACATGGAAAGCATTTGTCGAATTATTTGAGACTGTGCTAGAGAAGCTGGGATATTTTTTTTCCCACCACAGTGCTAGGACTGAAATTAGAGCCTCATACAACAGCCAAAACCAAGCCACATCTAAATATTCCACAGAAACTCAATGATTGATAATAAAATTAATACCCCCCCAAAACAAGCTAAATTGATTTTCATATAAACTACCTGAGAGAGAACTAGTTTTTTGTGTGACATAGGGCCATGAATAAATCAAAAAATGGGCTGGCTTTGTAGCTCAGGGATACGGCAATTATTTAGTATGTATGAGGCTCTAAATTCAGTCCTAGCACTGCGGTGGGAAAAAAAACAAAAACAAAAAAACAAAACAAAAAACCTTAGAAGTGATCATCAACAACTACTACAGAGCCAGTAAAAGGAAAAAAAGAACACCATCACACCTTATATAAAGGAGTTAAGCAGACGTGAATAGCCTTGTTTAGTCTGGTTATTTCCTGTGCATAAACTGCACATTCTTTGAGACATCTATGGCTTTACCAGGATTAGAATCTCTTAATGAGGAGGGTCCATTATAAGGAACAGCATTCTGCCTACAGTCTCTTCCCTCAGACAGTGCACGGAACAAACTACAGTCAGGAATAGTCAATAAGACTAGGTTCCTTCAACATCTGATATCAAGAGCAAACCAACCATAGTCCATCTACCTTCTTCCCTCTCCCTTCCCCTTTTGTATTTTCTTTTCTCTTTAAGACCTCTTCATAGTCCCTTCTACCATATGGCATGCTATGAATTTTCTGTTTTCAGATATCATGTCTCTGCCCTCATAAGAAAATAAAATCTATGGCAGTAGAGGTTTTAATTTTTACCCATTTCATTCACCAGTAGAGTCGAGTATCAAAATGGAACACATAACTCTTGAGTTGAACTTTTCAAATGAATTAATAAATGATAGTGAACAGCTATTAGAAAATACTGTATTTAGTTGATATTTTGTTTACTTGACACTTTTTTAAAAAATAAAATTTTGTTGAAGATTTTCCATTAAAATTTGTCTACATCATCAAAATTTTGAGTTATATAGTCCAGGAAAACACTTTAAAAAGCATTGCAAAGGTAGAAATGTAATTGTGTCTTACCGGATGTGTTATTCAGCTTTTTATCATTGTGAAAAAATACCTAAGAAAATCAACTTAAAGGAGGTATTATAACTTTCATATGAGGTGTCCCCTGAAAACTTATTTGATAATGCAGCAATATTCAGAGGTGGAATGGTTGAATTGTGAGAGCTGTAATCTGACCCGTCCATCCATTACTATGGAATGTCTGAGTAGTAACTGCAGACACATGGGGTGTGGTAGGAGGAGGTGGGTCACTGGGGAGCATGCCCAGAAAGTATTGTTCTTCCTGAGGCCCCTTCTTACTCTCACTCTCTGCTTCTGAGCATTTACACTTATTTGTATAAGTGCTACCTCCCCTTGGGCCCAGAACAATGGAGTCAGTCCTCTATGAACTGAGACTTTCTGAAACCATGAGACTCAAATTACCTTTTCCTGCGGAAGTTGTTTTCTGCTATTTTGGTCACAGAAAAAAGGACACTGACAGGAGATAAGATTTATTTTGGTTCACAGTTTCAGAGGTTTCAGTCCATGGTCTATTAGCTGAATTGTTTGGGGCCTGAGGTGAGGCAGAACATCGTGGCAGGAGGGCATGATGAAGAAATGCTGCTTCCCTCACGGCAGCCAGGAAGCAGAGAGAGCAAAGGAGGAATCAGAGACAAGATAATCCCTTCCAGGGCAACCCCCCACCACCCCAGAGACCACTTATTCCAATTAGGCCTCACCTCCTACTTTCCCAACCTCCCAATACTGCCACCAAACTATAAATCCCTCCATCCTTTGATGAGGTCAGATGATCCAACCACTTTCCAAGAGCCTCACGTCTGAATACTGCTCTATGGGGACTATGCCCTCGACACATGAGTCTTGGGGGGAAGACTTACATCATTTTCAAACTATTACACTGGTTCAATTGACTCTTTCTATATCTCAAATAGAATAGGAATGACAAATGAATGGGAGGATGGGTAGAAGATAAAATAATCCTGGAGCAGTCCATATCAGAACAAATAGCTCTCACATGATTATTTCACAGCATAATTAGAAGAGTCTGTCAGTTACCTGTGCTATCCAGGGCTGGGGACGACCCACCAAGTTTTGGAATGAACGCCAGGTGATGACTATGAGCTGATGACCAAAAGAGGTAACATAGGAGATCTCCTCCCTGAATAAGCTCTTCTTGTTCTGATCATTTGAGAGTTGTTGTAGTTCAGATTTTGTTTCTCCACAGATGGAGGATTTTGTATAAAAATCAGCTAATGCTTCTATGACTGACTTTTCATTCTTTGAAGGCATTTCACTGTTGTTGGCTGGATTAAAAGTGGATAACAGGCCTCAGATTACTACTTCATTAGTAACAGATTACTACCAGTTTTACCAGATTTTCTGTGAACTCTTATTTGTATAACTCCTAAATTCTGAAACTGGAGTACAAAAAAACCAACATAATCATTGTAAATTAGATAAAAATACTCACAGTATTCACTGACAACTAAATTTATTTGGTTACCACATTAATATGTAAATTCACTAGGCTGTGTTTTAATGAGCTACTGCATTGCTAAACCTTAACCAACTTAATTTGGCAAAAATATAGAAATGTTAGAGATTCACATACCTTTTGACTTTTGCTTTATTATACCATTAATGATTTCAAAGAAGACTTCAACAGGATTGACGTAGTGCTCACAGCTGTAACCTAGAAAAGATACCAGCAAGAACTCCACATAGGTCTTGGAAAATAGAGCAGACTCAGTAAGTCTGATGGAGGTAAGGCTAGGGAAGACTGACTCAATAATTTATTTCTCCTTGTTCTTTTTTCATCTCACTGATTTATCCTTTCCTCTTATACATTTAGTCCTACAATATTTCATACACTCTGTTCCTAAGTTAAAAAAATTCCAAAACATTTTTGAAATCTTATATTAATTCTTACTTCTCATAAATCTTTGAACCGCAAGTAGCTTTCAATATGTCTTGGTGCTTATTAGTACTTCTTAAAAAATCTAAATATAGGTCCAAGAAAAAATATTAAGTTTCTTGTGAACTTTCAGTTCATGTAAAGAATACTGAAGCATCAATATGCATATCAGCAAGGACTTCTTGGCTACCTATTAAATCCAGAGATCAAAAAAATCACCTCTCAAACTGCCATAATCCCAGATAGACAAGAAATTCCCATAAGAAGCACTATCAACAGAATGTAACCAGTACAGCACACCTGAGCTCTCACCTCAACTTCCTGTGGCACAATCATCTAAACTTGGCCTGAGCTCTAACTTTTCAGTTCATTTTCTCTGGATTCCTCAGATTCACATGTATTTGATTATTTTCAAACAACAAAGATTTAATAAAAACAAATTGAGGAAGATAATATTAACAATTTGATTTAGGGTCATGGAGAAATAATACCCAAAAACTTCTAAAAAGAAGAAGATGGATAAGCCATTAAAGAAATCATAATATTTAATCTGAAATAGAACCAAGCAGCCTGGAATGTTTGGTCCATTAATGTCAGATTCAGGGCCAGCCATTCCACTCAAGACCACATCACTCAAGACCTACATCTTCAAACTAAAATTACTAGAAAATGCAGCAGCATCTCATGAACCCTCAGGAAGGCAGAGCAAGATCATGTGTCAGGGGAAATACTGGACAACAACAATCTGTTACATGGTCCAAAAGACAATGATTTGGGACTTTTAAAAAATGTTCAACCGACAAAATAACTAGCTGTAAATCCAACATGTTAATTATTTAACTGTAAGGGAAAGGTCACCACAACTGGGAATAGAACAAGCAATGAATTGCCCTTGAGAAATACATGTGTATTTCCCCCCCCACACACACACAGTATGCATACTCACATAGGAGAAGAGAAAGAGAGAGCCCTGAACAATAAGCAAGTGCTGCAAAACTGATCAAAAATGTTTTAGGGTGGTGAAAATCCAGTTAGGTCTATGCAAAGATCAAGCAGCACTGTTGCTACCCCCTCTGCTCTCCCCAGGAGTCTATGAATGAAGGATCATGCATGAAAAGGTCAACTACACCTGCTGATTTGAAGTACTCCAAAGCCATCTTGGCAGGACCATGGTACATGAGTTTTCCTGAGGCCAATATGGTGAGGCTGTCAAATAGCTGGACGATGGAATACTGAGAATGATAAATAGAGAAGATGATTGTTGGTCCCTGCTCTGAAAGGCTAAGTGAAAAAGGGAAAATAATGAATTATTAAACTTCCAAACCTTGCACTTCTTGGTAAAATACTTTATTCCTGTCAGTAGAGCATTTTCTCTCAGTTCAACTTGATCTCGTCCCACAAACTTCTCATTTCAATTCATATTATATACTTGGTGTTAGCACAAAAGGACAGGGCCGGATGCAAACTTCATGGATCATTTTAGCCTTTTATTCCAGAAGGGGAATACATTCACAGGAATGGACCCACTCTTCTAGTGGAAATTGAGCCCCTGGACAAAGGAGGCTTCTGGGCTTATATAAGCTATACTGAGAGGTGACTTAATTAATGATCTTATTAGTTTGGGGCACTTAGGAATTTGGGATATGACATACTGGGTGAAATGGGAGAGATCTAGGGTCAGTGGTCAGTTTGGGCACTCAGGAAATAGGTTTGTGAGAATTTGAAAATTTGTTTTTACTGGGAAATATTTTTACTTGGGGAAGAATGGAGGGTCTGGGGTCAGCGTACAGTGCTTGTCTCTTTCCCTTCAGGGTCCTACTGTACTGTCACTGGGAAAGGGTTTATTTGGGGAAGGATTAATGCTTTGGCTTCCTTTCTAGGGATTGTTCTGTCACTGGGAAGAATGAACTGGGAAAGGATCAATGCCGTTAATGTGCTAATTTTCTTTTTACATCCTCTGTCCAAGCCATACTATTTTAGGGTTTGTCATATTCTATATCTCATACTTGGAAACCAGGGAACCTAAATTTAATGGTCTTTTAAAGAAGATAAAGATTCTTAAAATTTGATGCATCAACAGTCTAGAATTGGCTAGAATTTTAGTGAAAATGCAGGTTCCTATATAGTCTTCCCAGACAGTGAATTACAATATCTGAGGTTATGTATAGGGAATCTGTATTATTAATAAGCATCACAGATAATCTTTAAGTACACTCATTTTGAGGAGTAGTTATGGACCAATGATTAAAATAATGTCATATAACTATTTCTCATTGATCATTTAACTATTCTGGCTCATTAGGAATTGGTTTTCACTTCTATCCTCATGATCTATTATTACTAAGCACTCAGAATATCTTCACTAAATGCTTTAGAGTTAAACTCATTTCCATTTACAAAATGTTGTTATAAGGCAGTTCTAATATTATCATTTCCCTCCATTTTACAGATAAGGCTAAAAGGTCAAGCAACTGAACAGGGACTCACAGTTACTAAGGGGCAAGTTTGGGATCTGAGCTCTGAACTAATGCTAAGCTAGGAACACTGCTACACTATCTTTTATAGAAGTTATTACTTATGGGAAGAAGAAACAAAGGCCACAGTCACTATTCAAAACAGTTATTGAAATTATTTTAAGAGAAGAATCATTTTAATTTAAAAATTTGATAAGCACCTTGTGCATCTAGCAATGTATCCAAGAAAGTTCTGATTCAATGAGAAACACAAGATAGGAATCTGTAATTTCAACATGATGATTAGAAGTAGCTAGTGGTTCCTTGTAAACAAACAGAGGGTTACAACCCAGTCTTAAAATAATATAAGTAGAATATTGAAAGCACTAACAGGAGTGAGTTAAGAAAAGAGATACTCCTGGTTAAAGAACAAGGTAACAAAGAGTAAACTGAACAGGTCTATTCTGAAAATACCAGAAGCTGTTCTGTGTCACACAATAAGCAGTGCTTATGTGTGTGCTTGTCTTGGTGTTGTGTTGGGTGAAAAAGATAACTAAAGTGAGGAGCAAAACAAACTCATGATGAACCCTTCACTTAGAAACTGGAACTTTAAAGGCCATAATGAGTTGGGTAATGTCTGGAAGATGGAAATGGGATTGCCTGGGAGCCATGTCATTCAATGAGTGCTGACTGTAAATAGACGGTATGGAGAAGCAGTGAAATCTGAACAGCCCTGGATTGAATCCTGGCAAGCCATGCTTATTGACTGGGGAGTGCAGGCAATGGTGTGGCCTCCCTCATTGGAGTCTGTAGTAGGTAGTATTTGGAGTGCAAAGGCATTATGGCAGAAAAAAAACTATGTAGGGAGTACCAGAGAGAGCAGGAGGGGCTATAGATGCAGTGAAGTATGACAGTGAGGAATCCAGGTGAGAAGAGCAGGATTTCATCTGTATTATATTTGCATCCTTTCTGTTAGTATGAAATATTTTTCTATATTTTTAAAGATGATGTTTAAATCTCAGCTATTGAAAATTTTCTTATAAGTGATCCCTCATTTTTTTCTTTCTTGTAAGAGGAAAGTAATTTCTTTCATTTCATTCTTCCACATCTTCAAGCCCCAAATCTCAAAAGTTTGTCTCCATCCTCCCATCCCAAGTCTAATCCTGAGCTGATCCTGTTGAGTCCCTTGAAAACAGACCCAGAAACTGCCCAATTCTCATCACGATTAGCATAGTCAAAGCTCCATCCTCCCTTAGTAACTCCTTCATGGGGTCTTCCCTCACCTTGCCCAACTGCACAGTATTCTCCACAATCATTGCTCTGCTTTAAACTCTCAAACCATTACCATGTCCCCCAGTGACAGTAAAAGCACACATCTGATATGGCCTATGAGATCTATGCAATCTGCCAAGAGCCCAACTCCACCTCATATCCTAATCCACCTGTGATGGTCTGAACTGGGTCCTCCCCAAACTCAGGTGTTGAAGCCATATCCCCTAGTACCACAAAATGTGGCCACATTGGACACAGCACCTTTGAAGATGTTATTAAAGTTAAATGTGGTCTTCGAAAGTCGCTCATCTGCCTTTCCAATTAGGAGCAAATTAGGACAAAGACACACAATGAAGTTGATGGCCATCTACAAGCCAAGGAGAGAGGCCAAGGAAGAAACCACCCTGAGGATGCATTGATCTCAAATTTATACTTCCAGAGCCATAATAAAATTAAATTTTTTGTTAAGCCCCCAGCCAACCTCTACGACCTTTAGTCCATGGGTCTGTCCCTCAGGCTTCTTTGATGTCCACACACCAGATATGACCTGCCTCAGGGCCACTGCTTCTTACAACCAGAACTCTCTTCTGAATTTACAGCACCTCTCTCTCTCTCTCTCTCTCTCTCTCTCTCTCTCTCTCTCTCTCTCTCTCTTTCTCTCTCTCTCCTCATGTGTCACATGCTTGTGGTCTTACCTGACCTTTCTGCTATTTTAAAAGCTTCCCAACTTCACATGAACTTCCTTCCCTATGCTCTTGTTTCATCTTTCTTGAACTGCTTCTTGTATATTGACTGTATTCCACTAACCAAGAGGAACACTTTTTTAGATTCTGAATCCTCTGCACCAAGAATACCAGGTGAACAGATAGCAAATAAATTAAAAAACAATGTTGCCATAGCATTTACCTTTTCAGGAGTTTAATGACCTTATATGCTGTGTTCCAGTCTAAACCAGTTGTGGGCTCATTCAGGAACAAGATGGAAGGATCAAGGATCAACTCCATTCCTATACTAATTAGTTTTCTTTCTCCTTTAGATTTCACCTAAAACACAAATTATTATCATCATCCACATGAATGAATATAGTCACTGTCATTTGATGAATTAAACTGTACCATTCTTCATAGAGACATGTTATCTCATTATGTTGATTATTCTATATGTTAAGTAAATGACACCTGGGAGAAGGAGAGGTTTCTCTTATCATATGCATAAGGTGAGGCCCAGAGCAAAGTTATCAAGTGATTATACCTGATATGATATAAAATTAACTAGAGTGATAGTAGTGGTAATATCATGTATTATTAAAGCTCAGGCTCTAATAGTCCTGTATGTTCCTCACCAAGTCAAGTATTTAGTTTTAAGAGAGTAAGTTACAACACTAAAAAAATATGACTCTGACATAAAAAAAAATCCCTACTAAGATAGGAGAGGAAACTATCTATAGTGATCTTTCAGTGTTTTCTAACCACCTCCCACTGACACACTGCCTCCACAAAACAATCCCAAAGGGATTGATAAAGAGAGTCAAGTTGGAGCCAGGAATGTACACTTTTTATCATACCATTTCAGCATATTTTCAATTTCATAATTTTTTACCCAAAATGTTGTTTTCTATACCTTAACTTACTTGGAATTCCTGATTCATCTTTTCAGAAAAATCCAGAAAAGCGAATATTCCACAGGGCAACTGGCCCAGTCTTTGCAATGAGTAAATATATATGCAGGAGAGAAAGAAGGTTTGGGGGAGGAAGGAAGTAGAAAACACATCTGGAATTTGGAGTCTCCAAACAGATGATATCCAAATGCTACTCATGGCCCTTGATTGGGTATCATTAACAAATGAACTATAAAAGACATTTGGGTACCTTTATCAAAATGTCATATGCTTGTACAAATATGCCACAATGGAATCTATTATTCTGTATAATTATTATAAACTAATAAAAAAACTTGAATGTAAATATATAGAGTTGATGCTTAATATTAAAAGTGCTACACAAATACATGATATTACCACTACTATCACTCTAGTTAATTTTATATATCTCCCTAAATAGATAAAAAACTTCAAAAGAAAAGTATACTAAAAATGTAATTGCTTGGAGTTTTAGGAAACCTTTCCCTACAAGAGATTTTTCTTAAATTTTTTCTCTACTTTAAGTAACAAATTACGACCAATGTCGTGGAATCTTATGGAATTCAATTTTTAACAAGCTAATCAGTATTGAAGAGGGGAATACAATGAATAATTTACAAAGAAAAAAGTCAACAAGATACTGAATGTCAAATGTCTGTCCTATTTTTTCATCCTCCCTTTATATCCATGTTGATCTACTTACCTGTAAAACAAAACAAAGCAAAACGGATTTTTAAGATTAAGAAAACCTTAAAAATTGGGAACTTAAAAAAATGATTTTTATTAAATCTTCATCAATCACGAGTCTAAAGCAATTGTATATTGTATACCATGATTGTGACAAAAAATATGGACTTAAAACAGCTGATTATACAGAGACACTTTTTAGAGACATTTTATTGATTGATAATGTGTTGATAAGGTAAGTAAATGTACTTATTTCCTTTTGCAATTATGTGAGAAGAGGTAAACAAATGAGAAATCAAAGAGAAAGATGTAAGAGTCTGGAAATAAAAACAACAACAACAAAAAAGACTGGAGAGAATGAGAAAAGAAAACTGTGAAAGAAAGAAGAAAGGCTTTACAAAATAACTTTATCATTCCACAAATTAGAAGTAACTCCAGAAGCCCAATTACAACAAAGTGAATCACAGCACAAGAATTAGCGAGTCCCAATCAGCTCACAACAGAAGGAGGTAGTGAAGGAAAAGCAGAATTAAGAATTGGGTGACAAAACAAATGCTTTAAGATGCAATATTACAAAGTTTGAGACCTGGAGAGACTTGATGATAGGTTACTTGAGTAGAAAAAGAGCACAGAGTCCCCTAACCCTAAAACTGAACCAGGTAGGTAAAGTGGGACTGGGCAACAAAGAGAGAAAGGAGGGAGCAGAAAAACTCTTAAGCTCACCCACTTAAAAACAAGAAGAAAGGCAGACAAAATTTAAAGTGTGACAGGAACATCAGGGTTCTTAGAACAAATAGCTTAAAACCAAATCTGAAAAGAAAACTGAACTGGAGTCCACAGTCCTTCCACCCCTTAAAGTTATCCCTTAAATCACCATGGGCATTTTCCATACCTAGACAGCTGCATTAAAGAACACAGAGTTCCTGTGCTCATAGAGTTGCTGCACTCAGTCAGTCACCAGGATCCTCACCACCACTAAAAGGATCTGATAGAGGGTAAGAGGTACACAGTGACCCATGGCACTCATAGGGACACTCCAGATTCTTCATCCTGAACTCCTACGCACAATAAAAACAACCAACATACAACACTGCACCCTCCAAGCAGACAGCTTCAAGCCCCTGAGCTGACAAACTGGAACTGCCTGGAGGAGGTTCACAGCAACTTGCAAATTGGCTCCTATGCCCCTGTAATATGAACAGATCCACAGCCAAAGAATGATGGTAATTTCCTAAATGTCCAAACCCCACTGAAATCTAAATCAAAATTCAACAAGGTTTTTCTTTGCCTAAGCATGGTTTACTATAAACAACTTTAATATTAACTTTGATAATATATATAACTCTTTAATTTGAATGATAGTTGTTACCCAATAACTAACATTGTACCCTCAACCCATATGAAAGTATTTCATCCAATGGTTTAAAGCATTAATTGGAATCAATCCTATCTTCGCTTTTCTAGCTCTAGCTGATAAATGTTCCTCTTACCCCTAATTCATCTTCTTACCTTATCTGCTACTATTTTAAATATACAACATTTATTTCTCTCTATATCTGGGTCTGAATTACCCTTTTATAACTTTACTCTCTTTTTCTTATTTTCGGTATCTCTTTTCCCTCTCCGTTTGCCCAATCTTTCTCCTTTCCCCCATTTAGCCCTCATTTAAGTATAGTAATTTTACTAAATTAAATACCAATTTTTTGGCCTGTTACAGAAGTTTATTCCAAGTTTACACTGGATTTGAGGAACCATAAAAAACAAATAGCAAGAAGTTTTAGTTTCTCATAAGGTTGAACAGCATGAGGCTTAGCTCAGAAGCAATTATAATAAAGAGGGTGGCACCTCTGAAAGTAGTGCTGATATTGGGATAAGTAGAAGTCAAACGTGGTATAAAAAATGAAAAATCAATATGTGGATATTCAACCTACCCAGGACTCTTGAGAGAAAGAAACTCACAAAATAGTCCCTCCCTTAAAAGAAGAAGTGAGAATTATACCCATACAAGGGTAGACATACAAACAGTATAAAAAGGCAAGAGAATGAACTACCCCAATTTTTATATAATGCTTCAACTGACTTCATCAACACTATAGTAGAGGAAATGTCAGAGAAATAATTTAGAAAGTTCATAGTTAAAATGTTCTATGACCTAAAGGAAGATGTAAGAAGTGAAACTGAAATAAAATACAGGAAGTAAAGATTATTTCAATAAAGATAAAAAAAATTCTGAAAAGGCATCAAATGGAAATGTTAGAAATGAAAGACTCAAGAAACCAAATTAAAAACTTAAATAAAAGCATCATCAATAGATTAAAATACTTCAAAGATAGATTTTCAGGCCTCAAAGACAAAGTATATAATCTTGAAAATAAAGCTGACAATAAAGAAAAGAGGTTAAGAGACCATAAGTAAAATATTTTTAAAAATGTGATAACATTAAATGACCAAATTTAAGATTCATTGGGATACATGAAGGCTCTGAAATTTGAGCTAAAGGGATGCACAGTCTTTTGAATAAAATAATACTAGAAAAATTTCCGAACCTTAAGAATGAGATAGAAATCCAAATAAAAGAGGCATAAGTATTACAATTATAGAAAAATCACAATAGATCCACTCTAAGACACATTATAATGAAAATGCCTAACATACAAAATAAGGATAGAATTGTAAAAGCTGCAAGAGAAAAATGATTGGTCACATTTAGAGCTAAACCAATCCAAATTTCAATTCATTTCTCAACACATACCCTGAAAGTCAGGAGGACTTGGAATAATATATTCCAAGCTCTGAAATAAAATTGATGCCAACCAGTAATTCCATAGCCAGCAAAATTAAGCTTCAGAATTGAAATTGAAATAAAAACTTTCCATGATAAACAGAGCCAATAGAATTTATAATTAGAAAGCCTGACTTACAGGATACACTCATGGGAAAATTTTATGAAAAGGAAATGAAGAATAAAAATGATAAGCAGATAATCACTCCCCCGGAAAGCCGGGGAGAAAAAAAATGATAAGTGGCATAGGAATAAAGAGTACTAGTAGAATAGTCAAAAGAAAATCAAGTCCACTTTAAACATTAGAAATAAAACAAAATGAGCATAAAAATCATCTCTAAATAACAAATTTGAAGGTAAATGGTTGAAAATCTTTAATCAAAAGACACAGGTTGGCAGATTGGATTAAAAAACAGGACCCAACATTGTGCTGTCTCCAAGAGACTCACCTTACAGGCAAAAACATCCACAGACTGAAGGTGAAAGGATGAAAAAGACATACCATTCAAATTTTACTCATGAACAATCAGGGGCAGCTCTTCTCATATCAGATAATGTAGACATTAAGACATAATAAATCAGAAGAGACAAAGAAGGTCACTTCATGCTGCTTAAGGGAGCATTTCAAAAACATAATGATTGTAAATATTAGTCCCCCAAACAAAAGAGCATCTACATACATCCAACAAACAAAATTTTTGATTTAAAAAATGAAATCAATATTATAAATCAACAAAACACTAATACTAGGTGATTTTAACACACCTTTATCATCACTGTATAGATTCTTCAACATAAACTAAATAAGGATTTTACAGAATTAAAAAATAAAATGAATAAGTGGAACTAATAGTCATCCATGAAATATTTCATCAATCAATGACTTGTTTCACTTTCTTCTCAATAGACCATGTTTTAGGTCATAAAGCAAATCTTTGCAAAATAGAGAAAATACCTTGCATTCTATCAGATCATAAAGGAATGAAGTTAGAAATCAATGATAATATTTTTAAAAACCCACTTTAACACCAGGAGATTAAATACTACACATTTGAATGATGAATGCATAGTAGAAGAAATCAGAGAAGAAATAAAAAGAATTATAAGTAAAGGAGAATAGTAATACAACATATTAAAAGCTCCAAGTTCATAGCATTGAGCTCATATATTATAATAATAGAAAGATACCAAATAAATAATTGAACATTACATCTCAAGGCCATAGAAAAACAAGAACAAATACACCAATACCAAAATCAGTAGAAGATAGGAAATAATTAAAACCAGAGCAGAAATCAATGAAATTGAGAATAAAAAAAAATGATCAGAGAGATCAACATAAGAATTGGTTTTTTGAAAGGATAAACAAGATTGATAAACACTAACAAAAAGAAAGAAGGCTAAAAAACAAATTCAGGATGAAAAAGGAATTAGACTAGAAACCCTGCACCTGCTAAAAGGAAATGTAGGCCCAACACTCCAACAAATCAGCAAAGGAACTGACTATTTAAATGACTCCTAAAGTGCAAGAAATAGAATAAATTCAGTAAGTGGGATGGCATCAAGTTAAAGTTTATGAATGGCAGAGGAAAGAATTAAGAGCATGAAGAGAAAACCTACAGAATGGGAGAAAATGTTTTCCATCTGCTTCTCAGGGCATTGATATCCAGAATATACAAAGAATTTAAAAAAAAAACACCAAATAAATAAATGAAAAATCAGTAAGTGGGCAAAGAAATTAAACAGACACTTCTCAAAAGGAGAAATACAAACTCTCAATAAATACATGAAAAGTGTTTAATATCTGCTAATCAAGGATATGCAAATTAAAACTACATTGAGATTTCTTCTTGATCTAGTTAGAGTGGCAATTATCAAGAATATAAGTAACCATAAATGTTGATTAGGATGTGGAAAAAGGTACATTCATACATTGTTGGTAGGACTAAAAATTAGTGCAACCACTCTGGAAAGCAGTGTGGAGATACCTTTAAATACTAGAAATGAAAACATCCTTTCACCCAGTTAGCCCACTCCTTGATATATCCAAAACATTTAAAATCATATACTATAGTGATAAAGTCACATCAATGTTTAAAGCAGCACAATTCACAATAGCCAAGTTATGGAATCAAACTAGGTGCCCATCAAGAGATAAATGGGCAGAAAAAATAAAGTGGTAAAAATATAAAATGGAGTTTTACTAAACTGTAAAGAATGACATTATGCCATTTGCCAGTACATGGATGGAACAGAAGTCTATCAAGCTAAATGAAAGTAACCTGTTCCACAAAGCTTAGGTTCAAATGTTTTCTCTGATATGTGGAAGCTAATCCAAAATAAGAAAACTAGAAGAAAGTTCAGTGAGGTAGAAAAAGGAGGATGAAGAGGAGAAGGAGGGGTGAGATAAGGAGAGACAGTGGAATGAGTCTGACCAAACTTTCCTATGTGCCTATATGAATGAACAACAGGAAATCTTCTCATCATATAAATCCAAAAGACATTAATTTAAAAAAAAAACTATAAGTAAATAGCTGAAGTTTCAGTAGAGTAGAGGGAAGGATACAGGGCAGGGAGGTTAGAAGGGGAAGCGAAAGCACTGGGGACTGAACCAGAACAAATTATATTCCATGCTTTTCTAATTATGTCAAAATGAATTGTAGTGTCATGTGCAACTAAAAAGAACCCATTTAAAAAAAATCCTTGAATTCTTGTCATTTATGAAACACAGAAGTGATTTCAGAAAACAATACAACAATGTCCCCCAGAAGAAGAAAGGGGAAGAAAAGTAAAAAAGGAAAGAAATAAACAACAACAAGAAAAGTGCAAAGACATCAAATGATCTGTGTTTTTGAGCAATGAGGGTGGGCTCTCTCCACATAGACCAATTCCACCCCAGGATTAGACCACGGTTAAGATTATTTCTTCACTTAATTTACCCCTTTAAAGATGGAATCTGGACACTTCTTTTTATCACTACAGAAAGCAGCCAGTTTTGACCACACACATTTTAGGAAACTTCTGATTAAGGTCATATTGCCCACACAGGGAAGTCCTCTTTTCTGGTTATGAATCTGTCAGTAATTTTCACATTACTTTGGAATCTGCCACTTCACAGAGACCTAACTTTTCAATGACCTTTTTGATTCGCTTATTTTTTCTCTTCTTTGACATAGTTGTTGGAAGTCGAAGAGAAGCTGAGAACCACATGTTTTCTCTCACTGTCAGGGTGCTCATTACGATATCATCCTGAAGGAAAATGTACTTTCAATGAGTCATACTGAGTCTTTTCTAAGACCATCACTCCAGTGAATGTTTAAGTTTGTTCACAGAAATAACAAACCCATGGAAAATTTCTAGGTAATGGTGAACTTTCAACTCTAAACATTTCAGTGACTCCACAAAGCTTCAGAGCCCAGGGAATAATTTTCCTTCCCTATCTTCACACCCAGATGGAGCACAGGTGATTATGGTGACTACTAAGCACTTCCAGAATGCTTTGTATGAGGATTTGACAGGGGCACCTTTTAGGAGAAAAAGAGAAGTGAAGGAAGGGCAAAAGGGCAACAGTAGACCCTTTGGAAATGATTCAAAGTTCGAACTGTTACCATTGCCTACAGGTTCATATTCCAGATCCTTTCTTCCTCTCCTTAACCTCTTTGTCAGTCTTAAGGGAGATGATGTAAATTCGGTGTAAATAAGATTGGTTCCTTGAGCATGTTCAATTGGAAGCATGATATACTACAAGCCAAGGCTCTTGCCCATATAGAAACAGGGGAAACCTAAAAGGAAAACCTACCCATACTTACCTGTACCACATATCCTGAATTGCATTGGAAATTGTCAGGGTGAGGTACCTCATGTACCCAAACATTTTCATATAATACTCTTGGTTCTTTCCTTGCAGCTAAGATATCTAATAACCTATAAAAGGACACACATGTTGTGAGATTTTTCCTTACTACAAAGGTCACATCTCTCACTTATTCTGAATCCAAATTCTGTTCAGGTTAGAAAGTGAACTAGCCAAAATATTCTGTGGTTTAACATATGCGTGTACATGCACGTAGACATGCAAATTCTTACTTTCCTTTATCATGTGGTATAAGAAAGCCAAAAAACATTAAAGCAAGATATCATTGGCTTATCCAGTACAGATCTTCCAAGTGACCCTCACCTTTATGGATCCAACCCAAGCAATAGGAGCCTTTACCTCTGAGGTATGTCCCACTGAGACCTTCAGCTCCTTATCTACATTTTTAATATTATTCCCTTATTTTCCTTTCTCATTATCTCAATAACAAGGTCAACTGCTTTGTGTTAATTACTTTATCATGCTGTGTTTGTAATACTGAATTTAATAAGAATTTCTGGTCCTAGGATTAAAACCATAAGATAGTCCAAATGCACATTATCCACAAGACAAAAGCCAAGACATGAAAAGAAAATGCATGTGATTTGTAAAAGCACACAGAAACAGCACCAAAAGACTTATTTGTGCTTTCTGTTATACTCACAATGATTTGCCTCTACCTTGGTGTCCCACGATGGCATTAAGGCCAGGTTTCATGATCCTACTGTAAACACAAAAACATACTGATTTATTATTTTACTTTTTAAAGAGTTCTATAGGTTTAGGGGCTACATTAGATATATTATTGAAGGCTAATGAAATTGCAGACATATAACAAGAATCAAATTTTAAGGAAAAAAATAATTGGTTAAAAATAGTCTAGTATACATAGGATATGAATCACTAGTCAAGACCTATGAAAGAAAAGCCTCAGATCCTTGAAAATCCCTTTCATTTATTTATGAAGCCACTAATCCCTAAATAGAAATGACACATTCTATATCAACAGTCTGTGAAATTCTTGTAAATAATCTCCATTCCTCTTACTCCTCTTAAACAGCTTCTGAATAATGTTTGATGATCAGCCTCTTCAAATTCCCTGGCCTGTTTCCCAGTCAAGAAACACACAATTAATTAATCAATGATTTGTAGACTATCAGGAGTAGTGTTCTCACTTTTAAAATCTAATCAGAACAAAAGAATCAATACATCTTAAATAAAAATAAAAGACTGGAATGAAGCACTCTCGAGTATAAGAAACTATCACCTGTTCTTCACATTTGAGAAAAACACCTTACCAATTAAAAAAGCAAAACATGCCCTAGGATAGATGATTTACTGCTTTGTTCAGGATCTGATAAATGGACTGGAAAATGATCTGTGTAGAATTAGGAGACATCCCTCTAGCATGGATGTCCTTTGGGGATGTGCAGGCACAAAACAGATACAATTGTGCTTCAATCTAATTAAGTGTGTATGTGAGGGTAGTGAGTATTCAGATAGAGAAGAAGGGGGTGATGATGGCAGTGTTGACTGTGCTAAGACCCACGATGAAGTCAAATAGGCTGAATTTTTTCCTAAATATAAGAGGTAAAACTACTAAGAAAATTAACTGGAGGAAGGAGAACTAAGGGCAGGGACATTGCAGATGCACAGGAATGATCAAAGAGCAGTCTGACTTAGCCCATTCAGAACACTGGTGTCTATGCCAGTCTCTCTTTAGAACTGTTAGGTACCTCAAAATGTGTTCTACAGTGCCCCACAGCACTCACACCACTAGGACTTTGGCATTCATGGCCGGTGCCACCTAATCTGTCTCACAATGATAGTAGGGCAGCTGGGGGCTGAAGTGAAATGTACCTTTCACTTTGCTTTTTAACTAGGAACAACTCACTCAATGACTGAACTAATATAATGAGAGTGTGATAAACCAGGAACAAGATGTGACACAGAAAATTCTTACTCTTTTGGTAACCTTCCTCCCCCAGTGTAAAGACACACAAATGACTGGGTACATCTGGGGGTGAAGATCAGTGCTAGCATGGGTGTTTAGCATGTATAAAGTCTTGGGTTCAATCATTAGCAAACTCCCAAATTTAAAATGCTTGGGTACACTCTCAAAGTGCATTTGTATACAGTTCCTAATGATCTTCTTTATTCATATCTACCTAGAAACTGCTTCTAAAATGAGTAGGAAAAGCCTTCCTATTCCCTAAGTCTTCATTCAGTGCCTGGAAAACTTCCCAGGTTTTTAAGATTTGTACTCAAGGAAAGATCAAGCCATCCTCAATGATTCAACCAAAACCAAATGTAAATATGTAAAGGCAAAGTATTTCACAGATACCACTGTTTGGTTTTCTTTGACACTAAACCCAGTGTTGCAGAAAATGGTAGTAGTGTAGTTTCCCAAATGCCACAGTTCCAATGTGGAGCAGTAGCTAATTCCATATCCATTGAGACAGCTGGAAAGGATAAGCAAGGTAAATGAACCCTCACACAGAGTGTATTTTATATCTATTCAACCTGCATATATTCAAAGCATGGTACAATCACTTCTTTCATCACAAAATCTGTAGGGACAAACATATTTTAATTACTGTATTCACAAAGGCTTGTTAGCTTTTCATAAGTCAAGTCTATCTAATGTAGTAAAAGATCAAAGCCTGTTATCCACCATTTCTCTCCTTATTCTCCTAGTCAGGATTTCCTAAACCAACACGAGAGAGACAAGAAGTAGGCAAGATAGCAGGTGTTGCTGCATGGACAGAGATCCCATCGTAATACAGTCAAGGCCTCAGCCCAGTCAGCCCTCAGATCTTCACCATTTCTTTTCCACCCATGCCTCAACATTTTCTATGCTATCTTATCACTTCCTTGATCTGAAGGGAGTTGCTGGCATTAACAAAGAAGTATAAAGTCACATAAAAAATATCTAGAAAACAGAATGAATGTCTAATTCCATATAGATCTGCAGCCACATTGAGTCAAAGTACTCTTTTATAACCACTCTCCAGCCTTGGGGAGCCAGGAAAAAGTTTTTGCTTTGTTTAGGAAGAATTTTTCCCTTAGGACACAAACAGAACTTATAGCAATGGTATCTATGCAAAGCCAAATTCACATCATATATTGGAATCAGAGACTCACAAATATCAGAAAAACATTGATACCCATAACGGTCAGTATCTGAACTCACAGAGGTACATGTGGTAGTGATAGGTTACATAGAAATACTCATTGCCCTCCTACTCTAGATCCCATTTCAACATTGCACTTTGAGTTCTGAATTTGTTGTGAGATGAAAAGAATAAAAGTCATAATTGCCATGTACTTTAAAAATATAATTATTTATTCCCAAATGACTTAAAATCATCATACTACAGTGACACAACCACATCAACATTTATAGCAGCCCAATTCACAATAGCTAAACTATGGAACCAACCTAGGTGCCCTTCAACAGATGAATGGATTAAAAAAATGTGGTATATATACACAATGGTATATTACTCAGCCTTAACGAAGAATGAAATTGTGGCATTTGCTGGTAAATGGGTGGAGCTAGAGAATATCATGTTAAGCAAAATAAGCCAATCCCAGAAAAACCAAAGGCTGAATGTTTTCTTAGGTATGTGAACGCTAATTTACAATAAGGCAGTGGGGGCTAGGGAAAAATAGAGTGGACTAGGCAGAGGGGAGTGAAGGGAAGGGAGAAGATATAGGGGTTGGAAGCTTAGTAAAATGAATTGGACATTATTACCTTGCCCTATGTGCATTTATGATTCCATGACTGGTGTTATTCCACATCATATACAACCAGAAGAATGAGAGGATATACTCTATTTCCATATGATGTGTCAAAATGCAAAATTCTACTGTCACATAAAACTAATTAGAACAAATAAAAAATAGTTGATTTAAGATTATAAATTCTTATTACTCTGTACTTTAACTGTATAACTTCAATTAACTTACATCTTATATTTAAATATGTTCTACCTGTCTTTATTAGAATAAGTGATAAGTAAATTATTATAGAACAATTATAACTATTATAAAGAGACAATTTTAAAGCAACCATTCATTTAACCCAGGTCTGTTTGAAAAGAAAAGTACTTTCACAATATACTAGCATTTTAACCTTCTTGCTTCTAGACTATAAAGGATATAAAGTGCACAGGTACCTAAAATGCATCTGTTTCAGAAAGCACATTGTATTTCATAGTTTGGAAAGTTCAGAGTTACAATTATATACCCACAATTAAAAAACAATGATACAAGCATCCTTCCACCCAAACACAAGGCTTACTCATGAAAAACCAAAGACCTATTAATTGTTCAGTTTCTTAAATAAATATTGGCATACGTTTTACAATCATTTTTAGAAATGGTGTGTCAGTTCAGTTCCTTTCAAACCAGACATACACTTAAAGATGATTCAATCATTTCAGTTCTAGTTTAGCCAAAAGATGTGAAAGCATATCTTAATATGTCTGTACACAGTCTTGAACACAATAGCCAAGACCTGTATTCATTGTTGGTCAATATAGTGGTCTTTTAAAAAGTTCATGCACATACTTGATATTCCATAGTCCCTTTTCCTCAGTTGTTTTCTGATCAAATGGAAAGCTTTTCTTCTCTTTTACATGATAAGAGACATTGTGAAAACTCAACACAGGCCCTTTCTTATCACTGGAAGTTGTCTCAGGGAGGTCATCAGAGTTTCTTTGGGACATGGAAATTGAACACAGGTCATTACTGGAAGACATCTGGATAGTTCTGTCTTTCTGTAGAGAGAAAAGCATTTGTAAGTTGATAGTCCATGTAAATCAAATTTTAAACACTAGATAACAACATATGAACACATTTAAACGAGGCTCCTTTAAATTGTGCTGCAGTGAGTAGGTTCCTTTCTAAAGAAGACCCCACATCACTGTGATAAAAAGAACCTTAGAACCTATAATGGGAGGCAGATCCAAACTAGAATACCTGCACTCCAATTAGATGTCACACTCCCAAATTAAGGTGTCCTAATAATTAAACAGTATGAAAATTATTCAAAACCCAGGATTTGCAGCAGGGAGAGGTCAGCAGGCCGATGACCCTACGGGGGCAAATCTGGAGGCAGAAGTGCATGTGGTGCAGCAATGCAGAGCCCATGGGGACAAGACAGGTGGCCTGGAAGCCAGGGCGGAGCAGGGAGGAGTGTGGGGACACTGTCAGGTGAGGGCAAGGCTTTGGAGGTGGAGCAGGGCCAGCGCCTGTGCTAGAGTGCTGGGGAGGGTGCCACAGGCCAGGAAGGCCCTGTAGGGGAGGACACAGTGGGCTCCGGCACAGCCAGCGGGCATCCCAGAGACTCTGCACCCACATCCTTCTGTGTCTGGGCCTCTCCCTGGCTGGCTGGGTCAATGCCCTCCTGCCCACGTCACCCCTCCCTGTCTACCACATGGAGACCACCCTGGGCTGCTCTCTGGG